CCGGTGCCATGAAGATCAGCAATAAGCTTCTGGCGCAAACTGCAGTCCGGAATACACAGACGAACTCCCCGGAATAAAAAACCCTCAGTGACAGTGTAATCCTCAAAGGGGCCATCTCGCAAGCGAGCGAGAATGGGGCCAAAGAAAGAGTCAGTAGGATAGATATCACAAAGAACCTCAAAGCCAATCACCGACACGCGCATCTCAGACAGTAATAACACCCGACGGCTCAAAGCATCGGCAACCCTGTTCGAAGCGCCCGACCGGTGTCGAAGGACGAAAGTGAACTGCTGAAGGAATGACGTCCAAGAAGCATGTCGTGAAGATATATTATCCTGCGAGGCAAGATGGCGAAGAGCCTCATGATCGGTATACAAAACGAACTCCCGACGAAAAAGATAATGTCGCCAATGTCGCACAGCACGCACCACCGCATAAAACTCAACATCATACGTGCTATATCGTAATCGGGAGCCTGACAACTTCTCACTGAAGAAAGACACCGGGCGTCCGTCCTGCTAAGGACAACACCAATCCCTACCTTCGAAGCGTCGCATGATAGCTCAAACGGTCTCGAGAAGTCCGGTAAACGAGCACCGGAGCATGTGTCAACTTGCTCTTAATGAGCGCAAATGCCTCCTCGGCTGCCTCCGTCCAGATAAAAGCCTTCCCCGTGAGACAGCTCGTAATCGGGGCCATGATAGAGCTGAAATGGGAAATGAACCGTCTATAGAATGAAGCCAAGCCATGACAGCTGCGTGCCTCCGTGAAAGTAGTTGGCGTAGGCCAAGCATGAACTGCTTCCACCTTGCTGTCATCCACACGTATCTCAGCTCCGGAGATCACAAACCCCAAAAATAGAACCGAGTCCACCATGAAAAGGCACTTTTTTGGTGCCGCATAAAAGGACTCAGCCCGAAGAATAAGCAAAACCTCCCGAACATGCTCCAAATGCTCCTCAATGGTGCGACTATAAATAAGTATGTCGTCGAAATAAACGACGCGCGACACATCTGCCGATAAGGTCACGCAATGTCTGATTCATAACACGCATGAAAGTACTCGGAGCATTAGAGAGGCCGAAAGGCATAACCAACCACTCAAAGAGACCCTTCCGAATCTTAAAGGTCGTCTTCCACTCATCCCCTGGTCTAATGCGAATCTGGTGATACCCACTACGAAGATCCAGTTTGGTAAAGACCGTGGCCCCGTGCAACTGATCATGTAAGTCATCCAATCGAGGAATAGAAAAACGGTACCGGACAGTAATTTTGTTGATCGCCTGACTGTCCACACACATACGCCATGCTCCATCTTTCTTCGGGATTAACAACGCCGGAACAGCACATGGACTCAGACTCCTGCGAACAACACCACGCTGGAGGAGCTCCTCCACCTGCGACGTAGCTCCTCGTGCTCAACCGGACTCATCCGGTAGTGTGGACGGTTCGGCAAAGAAGCCCCTGGAATCAAGTCTATCTGATGCTGAATATCTTGAAGTGGCGGTAAACCCGACGCAAGCTCAGACGGAAAAACATCAGCAAACTCAGAAAGTAGGGACTAGATAGCTTTTGGCGGCTCCTGAACCCCAGTGGAATCAATCCCGAATAACAAAAGAACATAAGGTGTTGACTGCATCTCGACCGCAAAGGCTGCTCGTGAAAGAAAAAGAACAGTCGAAGAACCCGTTGTTGGTGAAGGACGAGTCGGATTAGGATGCAGAGTGATACGTACACCGGCGAAGGTGAAACTGTAAGTGTTACGTCGACAGTCGAGAGTAGCAGCCATATCGTACTGCCAAGGTCTGCCAAGTAACAAGTGGCAGGCATCCATGGGTACCACATCACACCAGACCTGATCCCGGTATGTAGCCCCAATCGCCAAAGAAACGAGAGCCCGACGATCAACAGTAATGGCACGGTCACGGTGGATCCATGTCAGTTTGTAAGGCTGAGGATGAGGCTCGCTTGAAAGCCCCAATTTTGTCAATGCATCCTGGGAAATAACATTTTCAGAAGAACCAGGGTCAATAATAAAACGGCATACCTTGTCACCAATGGTACAAGTCGACTCAAAAATCTGATGGCGCTCCACTGGCTCATCAACGGGGGAATGAGGTGTCAAACAAACCCGTCGAACAACAAGTGTCGAGCCCACGTCCCCGCAATGATGTTCTTCACTTAGTCCGGGCTCAACATCAAAAACAGGGGGACCATCATAATCCGCAGTCACCTCTTGTTCACCATCATCCTGCAAAAATAGACCACGTGAGGTTGAACCCCGTGGACTGGCCGACTGACGATGGCCTTGCTCACCACAACCAAAACAACGTAACACGCCACTCGGACGCTGCCCGGTCGCCGCCGGCGGCGGTCCACCCACGCCCGACTGCCGCTGGCCCCCGGCCCATGTCAATGGAAAACGGCTAGGTCCCGCCGTTTGGCCCGTACCCCCCGACGGTGTAAATCGTCCTGACTGCTGTGTCCCACTGCTCACGGGTCCTGCTCGTGGGAAAGAAGGAAATGGCGTGCCCGATTTCTGGGCCAATTGCTGTTCCACAAGACGGGCTCTTTGGTGGGCATCAGAAACAGTTTCTGGCCGAACAAGATTTAACATGTCTTGAATGGCTACTCGCAATCCACTGACATAACGGGAAATCAATTGGGACTTTGTTTCGCGCACCTCAACACGAGTTAGAAGCTGATAGAACTTGTGTGTGTAGTCATCAACCGATCGAGTACCCTGTCTCAAATTGTGCAGCTGCTGATAAACGACATTATCATAATTAAAGGGCAGAAATTCATCCTCCACATACTTATGAAATTTAGCCCAAGAAACATGTGGCGACTTCCCTTGACGATGTCGCATGCTCGTGATATGCATCCACCAAGTCGCCGCTCGTCCACGAAAACAAGTAGCAACAAGTGCGACACGCCTATCCTCCGGGACCGCTTTGAAAGCTAATATAGACTCCACAGCGGCCCACCAATCCACAAAATCGCCCGGCTCCACACTACCATGGAACTCCGGAATTTCGACAAGAAATCCCGCCTCCCAACGCGAGTCCTCGCCACCATCTATCGGGCGCCGAACGCCACGCTGGTACGTTCCCAGGCCCTCATTCCAGCCACCCTCAAAAGCACGCTGTTGCCGGTCATGTCCCGCCGCTGCGCGCTCGTCCTCCCCACGTTGCTGATGCCACGGTCCCGCTGCATCTTCATCGTCGGCGTACAGCTCGCGGTCGCGGCGACGAAAGCCGTCCTCTTCCCCCAATTCGTCATCGGAAATAGGACCCTCCTGGCGAAAATTTCTTCCCGCCTCCGCGTCTGCTCGCCCAGGAAACCTACGACGCGGACGCCAATCGCCATCACGCGCCTCCCGATTCCCGCCGTGTCGAAACCCTAAACCACCGTCAACCGTGGCCCGCGGATAAACTCCATCAGCGAACGGGTTTTCGAGGGTTACGATCTCGTCTGAATCCTCGCCGGTCGGCAGAGGTGGTGACCGTCGGTGGGGCGCCCCGCCAAGTCCTCGGCCGCCACGACCTCCCCGTTGTCCCACGCGATTGCTCCGGTCAGCCCCATCGCGGTTTCGACGCATTTCGTCCATCATTGTACGCATTGTCAGTCGCATTTCCTCAAACCCCGATGATAGGTCCGTAAATCGTTCGTCAAATCCGTCAAAACGCTCATCAATCCTCTGAAATCGTTCATCGATGGAATTGTCGACTACGGCTTTGTCCTTCTTCGGCGGCATCGTGGATCGTCGGCTGGTCTGCTGATACCAACTGATGTAGAGGATGTATTCGAAAGGGAAATAAGAACACAAGAACAGATTTCTTTTCTCAGAATAATACGATGATGCTCATAACTATTCAGAGAGTGGGTACATATAGGAAGAGCCCACTACTCAACAAACTCCTATTTATTAATTATTCCACTAAATAAAAATAACATAAATGAAAAACCATAATAACTAATAAACTGATAACGGATAAAAACCCAGGAAAATAAATAGTCTAAACTCGCAGACGGTCGTATTTCTGCAGAAACGCCAACGCGGCCTCGTCTCCATCAGAAACCCAATCCAAGAAATTGAACCAAAAACTCCCGCAAGCGACTAATTGAAACTGCAATCGAACCAATCTCCTCTCCCGAACGGCAACCCCTAGACCAACACCAGAGGACAACTCCTTTGTCCCCAACTCCCGACCAACGATCCCAACCAACCCACAGGCCGAGACCACATCCCAAATCCACGAGACACAAACAGCCCCCACCAACCAACCTCACAGGGAAATAGAAAAAGGGGAGAAAAGGATACCTCAACCCCGACCCCCTCATCAAAGAAGGTCGGGACCAGCCAATCGACCCAATTTGGTGCCAACCGGAACCCGCTCCACCACCCATAGACGACCGACGAGTGCGACGAAGCTCTACATTGGGGAGGGGACTCCTAATTGGACGAGAAGCTTGGGCTGGTGATGACCAGCGCCGTGGCACCTTGGATTGAGCTGCAGAGAGGAGGTGAATGCTCAATTGCGGCTACGAAGCTTCCTGATTTAGGGAAAAGGGTTTTCACGAGGAGAGAGAGGAGAGGACAATAACATTTAAAACTTTTAAATCGAGATGATGTAGTATTATTTGTGTAGTTAACTACTTATCCAAAAATTAAAAATTTGAGGAAAAACAAAATGTTGTGGTCAAATTTGCAATTACCTCAAATAAATAAAATAATTAATAATGCAAGTAATTTAGGGCATTGAACCGCTCCGTTTCACTGAGCCGAACCGTCAGATACCCCCAATCCTGAACCGATCTGGGAAATAGAACAATGGCGGATTCAGCACACCGTACCCACGCCATTACTTTCTCTGGAAGCTGCCAAAACTTCCATTCTGTAAACCAAAATTACTCTCTTCTACTTGCCTTCGAACCCTAACCCTAATTTCAGCTGATAGCGAACAGAAAATTTCAATGGACACTAACATTACACACAGCATGTTTGACAGGCGCCCCGCAGCCAATTCCAGAACCCCTGCTGTTAAATGGGTCAAAGAATGGTAGAGTGGCTAAAACACAATTCTTATAATGTTTTCAGATGAATTTCCCTTGGATTTTTTTCATTATAAATGTATGAATTTTCGGATTTTCAGAATTCTTTGTTGTTTTTTTTTTTTTTTGGGTTTTTTGTTTCCCTTTGTTTTATGATCATCTTGATGCATAAGAAGTTGTAGCTTCGTTGATCGGCAGTTATGGTTGATTGGAGGAGTTATTTCTGCCTTGCCTCTTTTATTAGTTAAAATTAAACCTTTTACAGGGTGCCTCAAGACCTTGTGGCAACTGGTGGGAAGTGCTTAGTACTAAAATGGGTTAGTGGTAAGTCCAGTGATTTGCATCAAGCTGTTGATTAATGTAGCTTCAGTCTGTGTTTGTGTGATTGTGTGTGTGATGGAATTGTGGTAGTTAAAGTTCTATTTTGAAAGACCGAATTTTTTCTAATGTGTTGTGTTTATTTGTATTCTGCGGCAGGGTAAGAGTTCAAATCCAGGCATTGTTTGTTCAATCCTTTTTTTTTTTAATTTTTGTATAATGATTTTTGTCTCTCGTCCCACCACCTCGCATAGGAAGCGGAAGAAACTATCCATCTTTTTTATTATTTGTTTGATTTTTGAGTGAGCACTTTGAGTGTTGCATGGGGGACTATGAAGAAAAATTTTGTGATGAGAATTCTAGACTTTGGGCTCTGGTACACTTATTTAATTTCCTTTCTTTTGAGTAATACTTAATTGATTTCGAATGGAATGCATTTTTTGGAAAAGATTTAGGTCCTTTTGTTTACGCATTTTCTTGGGATTTATTTGCCTAGCAACCTTATGTCTTTGCGATGATGGGTTTGTGTGGGGTTTTGTAGGTTTTAGGAACTAACCTCATTGGTGGTGGTTTTCATGAATACTATGATTATTGGGCTCGAGCCTTGATTGCTATGAGTTGGAAAAGTATAAACATTTTTTGCCAATTTCAATATTGAAAGGAGACACCCATGTATTTACAATCTACTTGTTAGTGTTTATTTTGGTTCAAGAAAGCTCCAATGCTGTTTATTTTCCTTTTTTTTTTTGTTTTTATTCTTTTGAGGACTGCAAGTCATCCAACTATAGTTCTTTGAATTTGTTAAATTTGTTTCTTCTACTTTTCATGCGAAAGGATACTTCATTAGGGACCACTGACAGTTTCTTTTTCTTCTTTGTTTATCATGTTTTCTCAGAGGCCAAGTTAAAGGAAATGAGAGAGAAGTCAAAAGAAGCAGAAGTTGCAGAACCCGAGCCTGAACCTACAACAGAAGTTCTTTTCCTTTGCAGTTTTGAAGGGTGTGGCAAGACATTTATTGATGCCGGGGCACTTAGAAAGCATTCTCATATTCATGGGGAGAGGCAATACATTTGCCATTATGAGAACTGCGGAAAGGTAATACGATCAGAGAGAATTTTGAAATGGTGTTTTGACATTTTTGTACATAATTAGCACCATTAAGAACGATCATTTAAGTGGAAATTTTCAGTTCAAGAGAGGGTAAAAGTTATCTATTTTTCCCTGGAACTTTTGCTCCGTGTGAAGAAAACAGATAAGAATTTTATAATTGTTTCCCGAGTACCTTCATGTTATTGAATTCTAGTTAAAAGAAGAGGGATAAAAAGGAAGGAACAAAAAGGGGAAATTGTAGATTGCTTAATTATTCAGTTATGTACTTCATCAGAAAACAGAGAAGATATTTCTAAGACACTGTACCAATTAACCTTCTAGAAGATGTGTGTTCACTGTCTTTCAGCCCATCAGATGCTACTAGAAAAAATTAACCGTGCTTTTATTTTGCTTTTCTCTCGTTGGGAGGTTCATGGTACAATTAAGTTGGTATTTTTCTTCCCTTCTTCTATATTATGTAAAATATTTGGACTACAACCAGGAGATTAATGAATCCAATGATGTTGTTGGCTGGAACTATATCAATTATATCTACTTTGAGCAAATATGGGCAGAGTAACTGGTGCTATACATCAGCATTTAAGTTTTATCATTTTCTAGAATTTGGTAAGTAGTAGGCTTTTTTGACATCTCACGTGAAGTCATATCGGAAAGGTGGGCATGATAGACCTAATATTAAATGGTATTATTTTTAAAAATACTAAAATTTTTGGGCGCGCTTTACTATATGATTCATTGATTGTTTAAACGTGCTTTCTCCTTCGTTTCATAAAAATACGCTAAAACAGTTGTGGTTTATAATGCAGAAATTCTTGGATAGTTCAAAACTAAAGAGGCATTTCTTAATTCATACTGGAGAGAGAGACTTTGTGTGCCCACATGACGGCTGTGGTAAGGTGAGTTGAATCTTCTTTCTCGGATGACTTTTTTACGCCGCACCAAAGTCATCTCAATATTCTTGTTGTGATTAGTTTTGCAAATACCAAGTCTGGATCCTGTACTTTCTGTTGCAGGCATTCTCTCTTGATTTTAATTTAAGGTCTCACATGAAAACACATTCACAAGAGAACTATCATGTTTGCCCGTATCCTGAGTGTGGAAAACGATATGCCCACGAGTACAAGCTGAAGAATCACATTGCCTCTCATCATGAAAAGGTTTGTTTTCCTCTTTTTAAAAAACCAATATACATAAAGTTTCCTTGAAATTGAAGTAATTAACTAACTATTAAACATCATATCAAGTTACGAAAAGTTAACTTGCACCACTTTCGGAGCAACCTTTCTCTATAGCAGTTAGTAATAAGTCATTCATTTAACTAATTATGGTTCAGAAGTATCTGAAATAAACCTTCGCTTATTCACTTCAAGATTCTGGATAAGTAACAACAACAATACCTGAGTTCCAGGATAAGGACATAAAAACCATAAAAAAAGGAAAGAAACTCGAGGTTTGGTTCTGTAATATGCTTCCACCCCATTCTTAAGACAAAGCATTTCAAACATCACCCTTTCCTTTGTAATTGTAACAATTACCCAATTTGATATTTTACTGGGAATTCAATTTCAGGGTAATTTTCATTTATTTTTATTATTATAAATCCAGCAACTCACGCAGCACATGGCTGACCCACCCAAATATGTTCCTCCGCCTCCCGAAAAGCCAATAAAAACCCCAAAGGCTCCGGCCAGCAAGCCCACAAGCCATGCAACACCAACACCCGACCGGCCGTATGCTTGTCCCTATCAGGGGTGCGATAAGGCCTACATTCACGAGTACAAACTCAACCTTCACCTCAGGCGAGAACACCCAGGCCACTTTCCGGAAGAAAACGCCAGCAAACCAAAGGCTGCAAAAGAGATGGATGAAAATAGCGACCAGGAGCAGCCTTATTCTGGGGGAAAACGTAAAGTTCCAAAACAACTAAACAGGCAGAGGCCAAATGTCAAGCGGCCTCCAGCAAAAGCCCCTCAGCGGAAAGGCTCGACTGCTGTTGCTGGTGGACCTTTGGGTGTTAGTTTGTCGAGTGTCGTGAGAAACCAGTGGGCAACCAAGGAGGAGGTGTATGAGGAAGAAGATAGTGAAGAAACTGAGGAGGAACGGGATAATGTTGGAGCCGGGTGGAGATATGCAGAGAACAACGAGGAGGATGACGAGGAGACCGAGTATGAGGATTGAAGATTAATTTATTCCCTTGGTTTTATTACTGTTGTTCTTTATTAGATGAACAAAACGACTTTTTACTATACATTTTTGTGTTTTGGGAGGTGGTGTGTTTCAGTGTTTAACATGAATTCCTTTCCCGAGCAAAAACAGCAAAAAAAATAATAATAATGGTTAAAGTTATTTTCTCATGATATTTTATTTTTACCTTCCAAAGTATCCTCGTTTTTTAAGTGTGTTATAAAAACTTATATTCTTGAAAAATTACCTTACCAACTACACGAAACTGGCAATTTCCTTCTATTAAAAATTCCAATATGACAAAAAAAAAAAAAAAAATAACTCAATTAAGCATGTATTTTGAATTGATTTTTACAATTAATTTAGAGCTTCTGAAGCCTATAATCGACCAACAAGGATGGGTGGCGCATGTGTGAACAGAAAAAAAATCAGTTTAAAATTTTCGATAATAAGATATCAAACTTTTAATCGGGACATGTCATTTAAGGGGTAAATTGCGCCAAACTCCCCTGTATTATACGAAATCTGCGCGTTTTCCCCCTGTATTTTAAAAATTGCGCCATACCCCCTTGTAATATACTTTTACATGCACG